TGCAGGAACAGGAAACTGCAAGCCGTGGTCACTGTGATGTACAAAGGCAAGCAGGTTATGCATAAACGATACCTTAACCCAAATACAAATCTCTAAAGACCTGACCACCTACTTTCATGTCATGTTCTTACCCTGCCTAGCATTTTTTATGAATAGAGACGTTTAGATAATATATAGGCTGATGCAGCCAAGCTGGTTATGCTTTTGTTTCAGACAAAATCTTTTTCAATCTCTTGGTCAGTTTTTAGATAATGAGTATGAGACAAGCTGTGCTGCATCTGTGTCCATTAACCACATAACCTCTATTCTACAGATAAGCCAAAAAACAGTAGCACATTTTTAAAGTAATAAGAAATTGGTGTTACAGTGACCAAAGTGTGCAGTTACCTGGTGTTTCATTTTTTTTCTTGTTTAAATCTGGACGATGATATTGATTACCTAACAGACACAATATACAATCTGCCTGCCAACCCTCAGAAGCGGGAATGCAAATAATGTCTTCGCTCTCTCGTAAATGTGATTTTATTGCTAGGAGGCACATGTATCTTGAAAGAGCCTTTGTGATATCTCAAGTCAAGTACTTTGTTAAGAGCGTTTGAACGTGCAGGTTGAATTGCGCTGTGCTTGTGTGGAATACATTGCACCATTATTGTATATAAAAAAAGATTGTAATGCTTTATATCAACACCGACACTCTAGTGTTGAAACTACACACCAAACCTTCGAACAGAAAATGGATAAGACTGTGAGGCAATGAGTGTGTGTTCCGACCCGTTGAAGGAATGCAAATATTTCCCCGGACACGGAAAACAAACTACAGGCTCAGATTTAGCAAAACATAGGGCGACATCCAAATGTTACATACTACAAGAAGCCCAGCTAGATTTGTCAAACTTTTTGTGCTGAAACAAAGAAGAGCTCGTTTTGGGCGGAGCCGTGGGATCAGCAGTATATAGATTCAAAACTGACTAAGACGGCCACCCATTGTCGAGGAGAATAATGGCCGTCTTAGACAGGCGGTTGTCTTACACAGTGTGATTATAATGCCAAAAACGCAAACGGGGAGGGGGGGGGGTTGGAAGTGACACTTTGCTCAAGTGATTGTCTTAGAGCAGACTCGGCTTTATCTTGTTTTTGTTTTTGATATTTTGACATAGCGGAAACAAAACCAGTGTCCTTGGTATTGCGGTCAGGCGCTTCACTGTCGCACGCAGGGAATCCGAGTTGGATTCCCAAGAGCGAAGAATTCTTATCGAGTACATTTGTCTTCGTCTTTTGCTGGGATGGTGCGACGGTGCAAAAGGAGGAGTTAACATTGATCTCGTCTTCAATTTTTTTCCTTTTCCTGGCCATTTCCTTCAATCCGATATGTCTTGTCTTATCTGCCCAAGATGACAAGCACTTGAGTAACTCTATCAAGTAGGCTACTTTATTCGACCTCAAGCACTGCCAGTGATTTATTCAGCTGCTGGGAAGGCTGCACTAAAGAGCCCAGTAGTGGGCAATGACGCTTTTTCGACTGCTTAAACTAAGAGTACTTGGCTACGAGACAGCCTTGTGGATCGAAGCAAGCTGAAAGGGTCAGCGAACTCACTAATCCCCGCGCCAATCAACCGTCAAGTTCACAATGACCCGGCCCATTAAAGCAGATTTGTTTCTCTCCTCATACGAGCCTCTCCAAACCGGGACCACATCGCACCAAAGACCATTCCACACAATGGTTTCTAAGGGATTTGTTTATGGCTGTGTGACGCCTAGGACAAACTGTTTTGAAGGGTACCATTAGGGCAATGAGAACACTTTGAAATATACCTTTGTGGCTCTTGAGTTAATAGGTTGGTATACATAATAGCAAGAGAACACACACCGGCACACACAGGCA